CATCAAATGAGATGTTTTGTATATTTTTATATCATTCTATCATAAATTGATTATTTGTAACAAATTAGTTAAGAGACAGCAATATTACACAGTTCCTAGAATGCAGTATAATCCAAACAGGAAGGCTGGAAGGAGATAAGCAGTGTAGCTTACTCAGTACAGCAAAGAACACAAGTTTGTTTTTATTTGATCTGCTGGTGCCAAAAGTTTGCATGTAAAAATGTGTTTTGGTTAACTATCTACTTCCAACTCCTAAAGTCCCTACTGACTTTCAAACATACATAATGTTATATTTAAATTAATATGGAGTTTAACTTCATATGCAAGTACACATCAAAAGCCTTAGGTGACCTCTTTGACAGTTTTGTAACTATTCATTATGTAGAATCAGGCTCTAAAGGAAATACACAATCTACTCAGCTATCTCCAAACTGAGTACTGTAATACTTCCAATTACACTGTACAGTCCAGCCACCAGAGGCTTCTGATGCCTGATACAGAAAAAACAACACCTTTTCCAGAGTCATCTTAGCTCTCATAAAAAACACTTAATGGAGAAGCATATCTGAATTCTTACTACCCTCTAGAACTTCAGCAGCTAACTGGACGCTCCAGCCCCTTCAGAAGAAACCTCCACTGTCTTTCTGGAAATTAGATTTCCTCTTAAACAGTAGCAGCCAAAGGATATTTCTCCTAAGCATTTTATTCTAATGACTTAGTGACTACAGCACTGAGTCAAGAACTCAGAGACCAAACTTCTGACACCCTCAACTTGAGAGGATTTAAATCTACACATTCTATTATTCAAGGGAAGAGCCCTCATGTGTAAACTTTAAACGATTGTTGAGAGATCCATAGTCCGTCTTCCTTAAAGTTATGGTATGACATGGCCAGAAAGAAAAAGTAGAGACAACAGCAAGCACTCTACTGAGTAATTGTTTACAAATCAATCACAAAATAAAGCTATGCTAATTGTGAAACCATTAGCACTAACAATAACGAGGGAAGAAAGCAGGGACTGGCTCTGAAAAGGAACTAGTTAAAGATTATCCACATATGTGTTCTGACTGACTGAGTTAGATGCACAGAAGAAAATTAGCTGAAGCAATTTCATACACACAATCTTTACTAGATCACAGAAAGCCTGTGATTCTAGAGTACTGGCAAAATAGGAAATAATACTTATATTTAAAGGGACAGTTTAAAGATTATCTAAATTTATGGACCAAACAAATCAAGAACAAATCAAATTAGTTTTGTTTACAAACACCAGAAATCAATAAGTGGATAAGTAATAGCTGTCAGATTTATACAAAACACAGTCTGGCAAACTCTGATGAGCTTCCACGTATTAAGGAAACAGAACCTATAGACTGAGGAAATGCAATAAATATCCTATCCTGACCTGAGTAAGGCATATATCAGGGTTACAAATTTTTTTTTAATTGGCAAACTAGTTTTAGAAGAAAACAGGAAAAAGTAGAGAAAAGATTTGGTAGACATTTTTAGAATTATCATGGCCCAATTTCAAATTAAAAATATGTATTGAATATTATGTTCCTCCATATCCTCTGTCAAGGTTCCCCTACTAGAGAAAGATAAACTTTCATGATTCCAAGTAGTGATAGATGTTGTTCCTCTGTGAAGAAAGGATATGAAATACCAAGCAAGTCTAACATTAAAGGAGACATAGCTCTTCCTTAGAAGGACAGAAGCATAAAAACACAAAGCTTTTCTTCATAAACATTTCTGCAACTTCACTCCCCCCAAAATGACAGCAAGTCCTAGTTCACAATCTTTTGTAATTGTTCCAAAAAATGAAAAGGAAGAAAATTACTATGTTCTTAATGCTTGAAGTCTTTTTCTCATACTAACTTGTTAAAATTAAAGCAAAAAAAAGACACAAAACAAACTGAAAGACCTCTAATTTGGCTCAGTACATATAATTTATAATTTTTTAAAAAGGCATAGGATTAGGAATATTTGCTTGATGTAATGGTTCTTTTCTGGCCTAGTATCTATGGAAAAGCAGAATTCTCAAAAGAATGTTTTCGAGTATAAAATATGTTATAAGAATTTTCCAAAATTAATAACACTAGTCACCCAAGGGGTTTTTTTTATCTTCATATTTTTGACCATCTACATAGATATTTCTCAAGAAGAGTTCCAGCAAAAGTTCCCTGTTCAGCCCAGGAACTGAACAGGGAGCCAGTCTTCCCTGCTGGCTCATCTTTCAGTACATAGGGATGGCCTTCCTCTGCACCTGTAAAATTTCTTCCTTAATTTATGTCCAGCCTTCCTGGACCACTTTATTATTAAGGACTGCTTCCCAAGGAACACTTTGAATTAGTGCCCTGAACAGGCCAAAGTCCACCCTCTGAAAATCCAAGTCAGAGGTTCTGTTGACCCCCTTCCTTTAAACATAAATAAAATGAAATATGAATATGTAGCATGAATAAATTATTAAAATACCAATACAGACAAACATTTAAAATAACGGCTAAGATTACATTATAATAAATTAATGGGTAATATTAGAGCCTTCCATTATTAAGAAAGACAGATGTCATGTATTATCTAATGAATTGCAGTAAGTTCATGATCTTTTATTATCTGCTACAATTGCAGTTAGTTCATTATCTTTTGTGAATATAAGCAACAGCTCCTGTGGATCTTCTCTATATAGCTATAAAAGCAAATCCACACCAATGTTCTTGCAATATCATGGATTTTTTTCATATTTACATTCTGTCTTACTTTTGAATTTGCCACTCTCACAAAACAAAAGGAACACCTGACAAGCCTATATGAAAGAAATGTGTAGATTCTAATGGCACAATGTGGAAAAAAATATTTATGTAATAAAATCTTGCTTTTTTTTTTCCTTTGGAACATTTGACTTTTGAAAAAGGCACAATGAAATTTAAAGTATGACTGTACCTGAAACTTCACAAGGTTTATGGGATTTCTGGTACTCTTTAAGTTCATCAAGCCTGTATATAAGATGTGGTTTGTTATGTTCATCTTCATGTTCACCTCCATCTGTTCTCATGAGAGGTTCTAAAATGTATTCACCATCATGTACCTTGAAGGTGCCCATCTGAAAGCAAGAAAAGTAATTGAATTATTTTCCACTGAAAATACAGGTATAAAAATAATTCTCATGGAAATAAAAACTATTTATGATAACATTTTAAAGCTAATGGTCATACACATGCATGTGAGATGAAGGAAACTCCAATAAAACCTGGAAGGCAAGGCAAGAGAAATTTGTTTTCAGGGACTTGCCCCACCAGAATAACTCAGATTACCTTGCATATTAACAATGTATTAAAGGTAATCATTGTAAGAGTTATGGGACAAAGGAGATCACAAAAATAAAGAGAAATCAGGTATAACCAAGCAGCACCAGTTGGGAACTGTGCAAAGGAGAGCAGAGGCCATCAAGAAATTCAGAATTAGACAGCTGTCCAAATTCTGGACTGATTTGTTGCCTTCTATCCTTAATATAATTTATATAATATTCTTCTTCTAAAATTGCATTTTCCCCATAGATTAGAAACAGTATTAACATGACATTATTTTTGAAGTTTTTTAACTGGAGCACCACAAATTCAAAGTTGATACCATTAAAGTATTTTTTTTCCTTGATTCCTCCAAAACACTCCCCGTCCCCAGCCACCAGAGACACACATGATTAACTACATAATGGGAACCACAGTAACTTGATTACTAACAAAAGCACTGGCACATACACAAAGAACAAAAATTAAGCTCCTTTCCCCCAGCCCCCTGCCCCATAATCCCTTCAATTATGAAATCCTAAAGCAGACTCTGTTCTTTCTCACTGCACTTCTAACCAAATTCATAATTTCCTATGGCTTAAGTATTCCAGCTCAGGAGACTATGAGGAGGAAAAAACATGCAAGAATTTCATCAAATTATTTTCAAACATTTTAACAACTTCCTCACTTCAGCCAATTAAACACATCAAGTGAGTAGGTACACAGCATTCTGATAGATGTTTTGCCACTAAGTCATAAGAATGACCTATAATACTATAGCAGTAACATACAAAATATGGTTTAAGAGATTAAATGTTCATGTCAACCTTGAAACAGGGTTATAGAGTGACAGAGCAGGATAAATGAGAGCAGAATCAAGAATAAGGCTTTTTTAAACAAGTCAGTCTTTTAAAAACTGCTGCAGACTACTTTAGTGTTCAGGGTACTGGAATTACAATACCTCCTTGAATTTGGGATCCTTCTAAGCACTTATCAGTTGTCGATCTGTAAGAGTCTGCTAGTCTGACACATACCTGCAGCCCATCTGCAATCTTGCCTAATATATATAACATTATTAGAGCTGCTGTCAACACATTGTGGATGAATCCTCTGCACCAGCTTTGTCACAGAATGGAAAAAGACATCTTAATAGTATTTTCATTTCAAGACTGCTTAAATCTAACTCACAGAAGCACTTTTCCCCCTCAGTTTCATTTAAATTCTTTGCAAGTAGTCTTCATGCTGAATCCTTTATACATTCAGTTTAGCCTTCTCACATCCAGTGTTTCCAGGGCATGTAATTTGTAGAGGACAGCAGATTGAGCAAACCAAGAACAGCCTGGAAAGGGCTTCAGGAAAACACACATGCCACAGCTTGTCAGTTAGTCTTAAGGTACAACCTTTTGGGTAAATGACAGGGACAGACAAAAGCCTGTCACTCAGGGACAAAGCATCAATTCTTGTTAAGATTCATGTTTTATTACATATACTATTAATGTCCCTGTTAACAAAATGTCATAAATCTGACCTTATAGTATTTGTCAACACTCACATGCTAATTAATTCTTTTCTCCTGATACACCAAAACCCGTATTTCTACATAATAGATATTTAAAGTATGTTCTTCCAGATTTAAGCAAGAACTTTATTGTTCCTGCTTTATTTACCACATTTTACTTCACTACTATTCTTTCAAACAGGTAGATCAGATAATCTGCTTTTGTTTCTTCAAGAGCCTTTCCAACAGACAAGGAATGGTTTTAGTTATAACACACAGATTGTAAGAACAATACCCCAGAACTAACAAGGAGAGAGTTCACACTTCATTCCAGAATATCAGACTTCCACTGAAAAGATTAACTGCAAGAACAATGATATATTCCTTTTCTACAATTTCATCCTAAAAAAAAAAAAAAAAAAAAAAAAGTAAAAACTCCCAAAACTAAGACATATGTTTTTGAACAAGTCTCCTCACTTCAAAACTTTGCAATAACAGATCACAAGTTTACAGGCCAAAAAGTTATGACAGACAGCTGGATTGGCAGAATCCTCCATCATGATTCCTGGCCTCAAATTTATTCTTAGCTTTTTTTTAATGTCAAAAGATTAACACAAGACAGTACAATTGTGTCCTTAAGCCTAGAGAGTCCACCTTTACAGATATGTGGGACAACCATTTTAGAAAAATGGAGTCAAGCTGTCAAGCTTCCTTTTGCTCACTCTTTGACCCACTGATTCTCACACAGTATCCCAGGATCAATGGCCTGTTTAGATATGGAAAAAATAGCTGAGCAAATATCTATAATGTAAAAAGTTTTCATTCTTTCTACAATGAATTCTCTCCTCTTCAACAATGCATGGATGAAGAAGCAATTACTATCACTGAGTAGTTATGAAAGCCTCCTACCAGTGCTCTATGACAAATTTTTGCACATCTATCCCAACTGAACACACTATGTTGTATGTGAGAAAGAGCAAAAATTATGAGATCAAGCAGTGTTCTATCTTAAGAAAGGTATTTGATACTTGTCATTCAAAACCAAAGAAGATATTTAACTTGTAGCCACCCATTCCAATCCTCTAAACCTGCCATAAAAACACATGGTTCACTCCTCATTTTCTTAACACATGCATCTACAAAAATTCAGTCACTAGTAACACTGCCTGTTTATATTCCTCCAGTCAGGAAAGTGATACTTCCCTTGGTGACAGATTCTGTTGATCTTGGTTGCTGCATCTTGGACACACAAGGAAAAGAGCTGTGAGATCCAAATGAAGAATACTTTTGGTAAAATGAAATAAAGAAAAGTCACTTAGATGTACAGTGACTGAGGTTGCTGAAAAAGGAGCCCAAGCATTTGCAGGAAATTAAATCAGAAATGAACTGGATTTATCATCTACAGATGTCTCTCAAATCATCTAACAAGAAAGCTGCCTGAAACATTCTATTTCTGTTCTTCAGATAAAGAGATAAAAGTACATTTAAAAGATCTCTTCAGTAGAAGTAGATTACAAAATTGAAAACAGTCTCTTACACATCATCAATAAGTGGTCCAAAGGAGGAGTGCTACCCAGAATTATGCATATGTATAGATTTGAGAAAATGTATGAGAAAGCCCACATAAAAATGCTAATTTATTTTTTTGATTTAAAATATTATGGATGATCTAGACACTTTAGATTAAGTCAAGGTTCACAGGATCAACACAGCTACTCACTATATAGCATGATTTAGTGGTTCAAAGTGGTTTAAAACTGCATAGTTTTAACCAATATTAACCCTATTGCAAGAGTTAAGGAAGTAAATATTGCAAAATTATGGTTAAAGAATGTATCATGCCCATATACAAATTACATCTTTGTCTATCAAGTTTGCAGAACACATGGAAAACATAAGGAATATATAGCAGATTTCAGAAATGAGGAATTAGTATGTCCAACAGCACTATTGGAACAGTTCCATAAAAACTCTAAAAGAACAATTGAAGCTCTGGAAAACTTGACTCTAAACTGGCAGACTCCTGCCCAGGTAAGCTCCACTCCTCTGCTCAAGTACTTCTCATGCCCTTAAAGTATGGCTTCTTAACTCACTTAAAAACCTAAAACTAGTTTATAGCAAGAGCACTTTACAAAGGCAAAGTCATTTACAAAATCCCTTACTTTTATATTATTCTCTTCCCCTCAACTATCCCTTCCCTTTTGTTTACTCAAAGCTCTTGAATTATGTAAGAATCCCTCCCCCCTTTTTCTTCCTGCTTCACTGTTACAATATTTTATGATGAAAGACTTAAGAAGCATTGCTTAATTAAAGAAAAAATATTACAGTAATCATAGTACACTGTCAACATCTGGAAAAAGTATTTCTTCTAGAAGATAACTCAGCTAGAAACACAATAAGAGATAGCAGTTCAAGATAATGTATTAAGATCAGAGTAAATATAATAGAAATAAGAAAATAGTAATAAAATCATAAATTTTGTATTTCTTCCCTCATCAGGGAAGAAATATCTAGAAACAAATGTTTTCTGGTATAATACATTTGTAGAAGTGATTGAAAGCAACATTACGTTTGAAGTTCTTAGACAATAAAATGCTAAAAGTTTGTTATAGGCATCTAACTACATCCTACAAATTTTGTGATGTCAAGATTGCCTGAGCTGACTCCAGTCACACCATTAAAAAAATGATGGGGCATTCACCTATGGTTGGAAGCATCCTGGTTTGCAAAGACAATTTTGGTTAGATAAAATTTCTTAATTCCAGATTGAAATGTAAGTTCCATGTAAATGCTTAAAGGGATTTTATGTACTTGTATGTTTAGACCACACCTTACCAATAACCATATGATAACCAGGAGATTCTAAATAAAATTTGTAACAAAAGCAGAGGGGTCAAACAGCAGACAACTTGTTAGAATATTAAAAAAAAAAAAAATCTCAAAGACACCTGGAAAGAGCACTGGCTCATGGAAATTAAAAATTAATGAGATTCATTGGAGTGGAAGGAAAAGAGAGGTATTGTTTATTTGTTTATTTATATCTTATCTACAATTCACAGTAAACAAGCTAAAAAATATGCATAATAATTTTTTAAAATAGATACATACATGGAGATTCCATTACAGAAAAGAAGTTATCTTGCAACACCTGTTGAGACTGGCAAAATAAAATGTATTAATACATTATGGGATGTTCTTGTTTGTTTGGAGGTTACTTTGAGAGGGAGTGGGTTGTTGGCTTTTATTTTTGAGTTTTAGGAGATTTAGTTTTAACATCTAAAATATCATCAAGCTAAGTACTCTGACAAAGCACAGACC